CAACAAAGCGTTGCTTTAAAACCTAAATGGCAGTAAAATGTTTTCGTTACTAAGCAGCCAGCAGCGCCACTGTCTTGGAGTTTTACCGACGTCAACACGGGCGCCACGTGGACGCCAGTTGACCACAGCGCTAGGCTACAGGCACTCTCACGCCCTCACTTAGCCAGTCACCGGTTCTTTCCAATCAAACTCTCTATGGGTCCTTTGTACTTTCTTCGGGTCCAACCCCGAGGCATAGGTAAGTTATTACGACCTGGCGGTAATAGTTAATCCAACGGGAATGGGACTAAACAACACTAAACAAAACCATCATCATATGTACTTCCTAACTACATACACTTATTACATATGTACAACACCGCAGGTGTCACTTTCACACAGGACACTACAAAAGAACTTCTGTGATCTATCCCGGCGAGTCCACCTCTATCTTCTATCGCCAAACACTTTTTTTTTAGTAAAGAGGATGGAGAGGCATATGTGAAGGAGAGTTTATAAATGGGAAATACAGTGAGAGTTATGAAAGCCGGCGGCGGGCTGTCCGCCTTGTGTACAACACTCAAGATATTCCCTCAACCTTTCTTTAACGGTACTCACGCTGTCCAGTCCACCTTTCTCAGTAAATTATGAGCCAGTCCTCCAAGGTGTCAAAACACCACTTCCGCCCTCCAGCAAGACGCTGGTTGGTTCCCCTAAAGGCTTCACCTATAATAGGCCTCGACTTAGAGGACAGATGGAGGTTAATTCCATCTAGTAACAAAACTGGGCCATCCCGGGAACGTCGGTCAGATTACCAATACTAAACTGGTTATCACAGATAATTCACTCTCTTCACTGACTCGGCCCACTTGTTCCCACTGGAAAAAGTCTTGCGTTCAGGACTGCCCTCATTGTCTTATGGTGAGAGTGAATGTCTCATAGTGAGAGTGAATGTCTCATAGTGAAGGTGGATGTCTCATAGTGAGAGTGAATGTCTCATAGTGAAGGTGGATGTCTCATAGTGAAGGTGGATGTCTCATAGTGAGAGTGAATGTCTCATAGTGAAGGTGGATGTCTCATAGTGAGAGTGAATGTCTCATAGTGAGAGTGAATGAAGCCACTAGACCTCCCACCCACTACACCTCCCACCCACTACACTTCCCATCCACTACACCTCCCACCCACTACACCCACTACACCTCCCACCCACTACACCTCCCACCCACTACACTTCCCATCCACTACACCTCCCACCCACTACACCCCCTACACCTCCCACCCACTACACCTCCCACCCACTAGACCTCCCACCCACTACACCTCCCACCCACTACACCCACTACACCTCCCACCCACTACACCTCCCACCCACTACACCTCCCACCCACTAGACCTCCCACCCACTACACCTCCCACCCACTAGACCTCCCACCCACTACACCTCCCACCCACTACACCTCCCACCCACTACACCTCCCACCCACTACACCTCCTACACCTCCCACCCACTACACCCACTACACCTCCCACCCACTACACCTCCCACCCACTACACCCACTAGACCTCCCACCCACTACACCTCCCACCCACTACACCTCCCACCCACTACACCTCCCACCCACTACACCTCCCACCCACCTAACAAACCACCACCATGCGCCACGTTATATCTAGTCACTCAACTCCTGGCCATCAATCAGGCAGGCCGCACTCCTGCACTCAGCGGAGCACGCCGCACTCCTGCACTCAGCGGAGCACGCCGCACTCCTGCACTCAGCGGAGCACGCCGCACTCCTGCACTCAGCGGAGCACGCCGCACTCCTGCACTCAGCGGAGCACGTCATGGTTTCAGCTCCGGCTCACTGGGCCTTCCGCCCGCCTGCACTCTCAAAGGAAAGTTTGCAATATCGCCCAACTTGCCCAAGATGGCGCGAGCGGTTCTCCGGAGAATGTCTTGGGTTTGGGGAAAATTCTTTGGTTGAAATGGATTTTTAATTACGCTTGAATTCCTTTAGTATGATATTTTTCTTGGGGGGGGGGGAGAGGAGGGGCAAGTAACGTTGTTCGGTGTTGGTGTTCGGTTTGTTGCACTCTCACCATGGTGGGTGGGAGGTGTAGTGGGTGGAAGGTCTGGTGGGTGGGAGGTTAGTGGGTGGGAGGTCTGGTGGGTGGGAGGTCTAGTGGGTGGGAGGTCTAGTGGGTGGGAGGTCTAGTGGGTGGGAGGTGTAGTGGGTGGGAGGTCTAGTGGGTGGGAGGTCTAGTGGGTGGGAGGTGTAGTGGGTGGGAGGTCTAGTGGGTGGGAGGTCTAGTGGGTGGGAGGTGTAGTGGGTGGGAGGTCTAGTGGGTGGGAGGTGTAGTGGGTGGGAGGTGTAGTGGGTGGAAGGTGTAGTGGGTGGGAGGTGTGATGGGTGGGAGGTCTAGTGGATGGGAGGTGTAGTGGGTGGGAGGTCTAGTGGATGGGAGGTGTAGTGGTTGGGAGGTCTAGTGGGTGGGAGGTGTAGTGGGTGTTAGGTATGGTGGGTGGGAGGTGTAGTGGGTGTTAGGTATGGTGGGTGGCAGGTGTAGTGGGTGGGAGGTGTAGTGGGTGGGAGGTCTGGTGGGTGGGAGGTCTAGTGGGTGGGAGGTGTAGTGGGTGGGAGGTCTGGGGGGTGGGAGGTCTAGTGGGTGGGAGGTCTAGTGGGTGGGAGGTGTAGTGGGTGGGAGGTCTGGTGGGTGGGAGGCCTGGTGGGTGGGAGGTCTAGTGGGTGGGAGGTCTAGTGGGTGGGAGGTCTAGTGGGTGGGAGGTCTGGTGGGTGGGAGGTCTGGTGGGTGGGAGGTCTAGTGGGTGGGAGGTCTAGTGGGTGGGAGGTCTAGTGGGTGGGAGGTCTGGTGGGTGGGAGGTCTGGTGGGTGGGAGGTCTAGTGGGTGGGAGGTCTGGTGGGTGGGAGGTGTAGTGGGTGGGAGGTCTAGTGGGTGGGAGGTCTAGTGGGTGGGAGGTCTAGTGGGTTGGAGGTCTAGTGGGTGAGTGGTCTAGTGGGTGGGAGGTGTAGTGGGTGGGAGGTCTGGTGGGTGGGAGGTCTGGTGGGTGGGAGGTCTAGTGGGTGGGAGGTCTGGTGGGTGGGAGGTCTAGTGGGTGGGAGGTCTAGTGGGTGGGAGGTCTGGTGGGTGGGAGGCCTGGTGGGTGGGAGGTCTAGTGGGTGGGAGGTCTGGTGGGTGGGAGGTCTGGTGGGTGGGAGGTCTGGTGGGTGGGAGGTCTGGTGGGTGGGAGGTCTAGTGGGTAGGAGGTTTGGTGGGTGGGAGGTGTAGTGGGTTGGAGGTCTAGTGGGTGAGTGGTCTAGTGGGTGGGAGGTCTAGTGGGTGGGAGGTCTGGTGGGTGGGAGGTCTGGTGGGTGGGAGGTCTAGTGGGTGGGAGGTGTAGTGGGTGGGAGGTGTAGTGGGTGGGTGGTCTGGTGGGTGGGAGGCCTGGTGGGTGGGAGGTGTAGTGGGTGGGAGGTCTAGTGGGTGGGAAGTCCAGTGTGTTGGAGGTCTAGTGGGTGGGAGGTCTAGTGGGTGGGAGGTCTAGTGGGTGAGAGGTGTAGTGGGTGGGAGATCTGGTGGGTGGGAGGTCTGGTGGGTGGGAGGTCTAGTGGGTGGGAGGTCCAGTGGGTGGGAGGTCTGGTGGGTGGGAGGCCTGGTGGGTGGGAGGTCTAGTGGGTGGGAGGTCCAGTGGGTGGGAGGTCTGGTGGGTGGGAGGTCTGGTGGGTGGGAGGTCTAGTGGGTGGGAGGTCTGGTGGGTGGGAGGTCTGGTGGGTGGGAGGTCTAGTGGGTGGGAGGTCTGGTGGGTGGGAGGTCTAGTGGGTGGGAGGTCTGGTGGGTGGGAGGTCTGGTGGGTGGGAGGTCTGGTGGGTGGGAGGTCTGGTGGGTGGGAGGTCTAGTGGGTGGGAGGTCTGGTGGGTGGGAGGTCTAGTGGGTGGGAGGTCTAGTGGGTGGGAGGTCTAGTGGGTGGGAGGTCTGGTGGGTGGGAGGTCTGGTGGGTGGGAGGTCTAGTGGGTTGGAGGTCTAGTGGGTGGGAGGTCTAGTGGGTGGGAGGTCTAGTGGGTGGGAGGTGTAGTGGGTGAGAGGTCTGGTGGGTGGGAGGTCTGGTGGGTGGGAGGTCAAGTGGGTTGGAGGTCTAGTGGGTGGGAGGTCTAGTGGGTGGGAGGTCTAGTGGGTGGGAGGTCTAGTGGGTGGGAGGTCTAGTGGGTGGGAGGTCTGGTGGGTGGGAGGTCTAGTGGGTGGGAGGTCTGGTGGGTGGGAGGTCTAGTGGGTGGGAGGTCTAGTGGGTGGGAGGTCTAGTGGGTGGGAGGTCTAGTGGGTGGGAGGTGTGGTGGGTGGGAGGTCTGGTGGGTGGGAGGTCTGGTGGGTGGGAGGTCTGGTGGGTGGGAGGTCTGGTGGGTGGGAGGTCTAGTGGGTGGGAGGTCTGGTGGGTGGGAGGTCTGGTGGGTGGGAGGTCTAGTGGGTGGGAGGTCTAGTGGGTGGGAGGTCTGGTGGGTGGGAGGTCTGGTGGGTGGGAGGTCTAGTGGGTGGGAGGTGTAGTGGGTGGGAGGTCTGGTGGGTGGGAGGTCTGGTGGGTGGGAGGTCTAGTGGGTGGGAGGTCTAGTGGGTGGGAGGTCTAGTGGGTGGGAGGTTTCAACAAAGACAGTTTGCAAAAACAACATCAATTAGAACAAAACCAATTACGACAACGACTACTTTTTTTGTATTAGGACAATTACAATGACAGTTAGAACAGGAACGACACTTGCAAATGAGACAATTACAGCAAGAAAGACGAAGGCAGCAAAGACAATTACAACAACAATTGCAACCACAGCAACATGGGCAACAAAGACATAATGGCATGCAATAGCAGGACCCGTGGGGGGGGGGGTGACTAATTGCTCTTATAAACAACTTGGCCACAATTTCAGTAATTTGGAACTTTAGTTCCACGGCTCCCAGCCACGACTGCTGCTCCACCCGTGGCTGCTGCTCCACCCGTGGCTGCTGTTCTACCCGTGGCAGCTGCTCCACCCGTGGCTGCTTATCTACCCGTGGCAGCTGCTCCACCCGTGGCTGCTGTTCCACCCGTGGCTGCTGTTCTACCCGTGGCAGCTGCTCCACCCGTGGCTGCTGTTCCACCCGTGGCTGCTGCTCCACCCGTGGCTGCTGCTGCTCCACCCGTGGCTGCTGCTCCTCCACCCGTGGCTGCTGCTCCACCCGTGGCTACTGCTCCACCCGTGGCAGCTGCTCCACCCGTGGCTGCTGCTCCTTCACCCGTGGCTGCTGCTCCTTCACCCGTGGCTGCTGTTCCACCCGTGGCTGCTGCTCCACCCGTGGCTGCTGCTCCACCCGTGGCTGCTGTTCCTTCACCCGTGGCTGCTGCTCCACCCGTGGCTGCTGTTCCACCCGTGGCTGCTGCTCCACCCGTGGCTGCTGCTCCACCCGTGGCTGCTGTTCCACCCGTGGCTGCTGCTCCACCCGTGGCTGCTACTCCACCCGTGGCTGCTGCTGAGTCATCAACCACACCCTGAGTCATCAACCACACCCAGAGTCATCAACCACACCCAGAGTCATCAACCACACCCAGAGTCATCAACCACACCCTGAGTCATCAACCACACCCTGAGTCATCAACCACACCCAGAGTCATCAACTACACCCTGAGTCATCAACCACACCCTGAGTCATCAACCACACCCTGGGTCATCAACCACACCCTGAGTCATCAACCACACCCTGAGTCATCAACCACACCCTGAGTCATCAACCACACCCTGAGTCATCAACCACACCCAGAGTCATCAACCACATCCAGAGTCATCAACCACACCCAGAGTCATCAACCACACCCTGAGTCATCAACCACACCCAGAGTCATCAACCACACCCTGAGTCATCAACCACACCCTGAGTCATCAACCACACCCTGAGTCATCAACCACACCCTGAGTCATCAACCACACCCTGAGTCATCAACCACACCCTGAGTCATCAACCACACCCGGAGTCATCAACCACACCCTGAGTCATCAACCAGTTACGTCACCTCGTAACTCATAGTGGTCAAGTAAAAAATGTTGTTGTTATAACTTAAAATTATTTTTAATATAATTTAGGCGGTTAAGTTTGCATTAATTATTAAACAGTTCACGAGCCGTGAAGCACCACGAGGCTATCATATGACAACCTTCCCTAAAATCTCAAATATATATGCACAAAGCCGCCATGATGTGGGGAAAGATGTAGAGCTTTCGTAAACTATCATACCAAATGCTCGCTGAATCTAGGCCACTCAAGTAATCCAGAGAGAAGTAGCCACCTTTAAAGGCGAAATCTTTATCCCACTCGCAAGGGATAATTGTCTTAAAGTTCATGGGCTATATACCTTTATGGTCGGCTGTTTAGGTCGGAAATTACGGCTGGAGTGAGAGGCGTGATTCTCGTGACTCAATTTGGGGATTTAGCGCTAATGCCATCGTATACCTGCGCCAGGAGGACAGTGCTATACCACAGGCGTTTCGTTTGTCACTGATGACGACGGTGAAAGGTGACTTAAGAAAGGTTGGCTTATATGAGGAGTTAATTGAAAGTAGATGAAGTGATTAGAGGTTCGCAGATCTGTATCTATTATGTCTATCTGTTTGTGTGTCCAGGATTGGCGAGACATGATTTGTATGAGAGTCATTGGCCAGTCGGGGTCAGCCCAAGTGCCCCTCTTTAGAACAATAACTGCTACTATTTGGTAGATAGGGGCTAGCCTCACCCAACTTTGTAGGGTGAATGGGTTGGGGTACAGGACGGACATAGGTTGGTCAGGGAAGAGCGTGCCCCGGTGTTACCTGGCCACATAACGACTTTTTTGAAGCACTGGCCACCATGCACCAACGCCTAGCTGAATATTTGGAAAACATAAACATTGAAAATAATTTTTTGTAATAATATTGTTGGGAAAGTTACAGAAATTCATAGTTTGCCCGTAGCGTTATAAAAGATATAACTTCAGTACAGCCGCCCTCTCTCTGCCCGCCGCTCCCCCCCTATTTCACACCACTATATAGGCTCCTCCCACCGGCCGGCCACCTGCACGCCAATTGGAAACTATTATATTACTTTTTATGATACAGAACGCGACAGACAGAAATAGACCGGCAGAGAGACAGGGTAGGCCAGGACAACAACTCATACAGGCAGACATTAAGACAGACCAGACAGACATTGGGAGAGAGAGGGGGGGGAGAGGGTAGTGTTTAAAGAGAGGGAAGGAGAGGGGGAGGGGGAGGCAAGTGAAGAGGGGTAAAGAGGGGAGGAGGAAGGTGAAGAGGTGAGTCACGGAGGAGGTAGGAGTGTTGGAGAGTGGAGGAGGCGTGTGAGGAGGATGTTGGAGGAGAGTGGAAGAACGGAGGAGAGGGAGAGAGTAGAGAGAAAAGAAGAGGGGGAGAAAGTTGGAGAAGAGAGAGTGGGGGAGGGAAGAGAGGCCCGTGTACAGCCACTGTATTAATAAACTGATTAATAAATTGATTAATACATTAATAAAGTAATAAATTGATTAATAAATTGATTAATAAATTAAAACATCTGACTGTCTGTATCTTCGAGGTGGAGGCCAGACACTTAATTCAAGCTGGCTTCATTTAACTTTTCCAAGTAATTCCTGTTGGTTACGTGCCCAACATGGACGGGTCAGGATAGGCATCAAAGACAACGGTATCACGTGACATCGTCCCAACGCCACCACCTTGATGAATCCTGCAATATCATATCAAATTAACACAAAATTATTTTCTTTCATTATCTTTTATTATTTTGAGTTTTTATGGGAAGGAGTAACACACCACCACCCTCTCTTCTCCTCCTCCTCCTCCTCCTCCTCCTCCTCCTCTTCTTCCTCCTTCTCCTCCTCCTCCTCCGTTCCCACTTACAAAATACATGATTTGCTCCAGGGTCTAATAACCGTTTTCTCTCCAACATTCTTTCTCTCAAAAGAAAGAGAAAGAATGAGAGAGGGAGAGTAACGGAGTGAGGGAGAAACAAGGAAAGAAGGAGAGAGAAAGAGAGAGAGAGAGAGAGAGAGAGAGAGAGAGAGAGAGAGAGAGAGAGAGAGAGAGAGAGAGAGAGAGAGAGAGAGAGAGAGAGAGAGAGAGAGAGAGAGAGAGAGAGAGAGAGAGAGAGAGAGAGAGAGAGAGAGAGAGAGAGAGAGAGAGAGAGAGAGAGAGAGAGAGAGAGAGAGAGAGAGAGAGGGACGGAGGGAGGGATGGAGAGAGGGAGGGAGAGAGGGAGGGAGAGAGGGAGGGAGGGAGAGAGGGAGGGAGAGAGGGAGGGAGGAGGGGAGGGAGGGAGGGAGAGAGGGAGGGAGGGAGAGAGGGAGGGAGGGAGAGAGGGAGAGAGGGAGGGAGGGAGAGAGGGAGGGAGAGAGGGAGGGAGGGAGAGAGGGAAGGAGGGAGAGAGGGAGAGAGGGAGGGAGGGAGAGAGGGAGGGAGGGGCATACAAACAGACCCCGGGCAAAGCCGGGTACCCGTTCCTATAGTATTAATAATTATAATTCATTGTGTTGGGGGACAGAAAGCCAGAGTGTATTCACGCACGTTAGGGTTATATCAAGGTCATCCACCCCCCACCCCCCCCCCTCCCCCAAGGTCGCCTTACTGACCCCGCCCAGGATACAACCCACAACAAGCTGACTATCTCCTGGGTACCTACCACTGCTAGGTGATCCCGGAACTATCGATTGTGCGTCAAGAACGAAGCCGACTGTACTACCGGGACCCTTCATATAAAACAGACGAATCAAGAAGCCCGCGCAGTCGCCGGACCAATCAAAATAGCAAGAATAATTAACAACGTGCGCAACTACCAATCATTTCTGCCAATTAAACACGGCCAAAAACGCAATCAGCTCGTAATCCTGGTGTTGCAGAGATAATTACTCCACCGTGGAGACCTGGCCGGAGCTCCGACTCTATCATCTGAACCACGTAACGACCTCTGTCGAATTAAAGGTCAGGTCGTCTGACACTCAATTTCACGCCTGTTAGGCGTTGAAATATAAATACTGTTGAACGCCTTGATGAGAAAATAATGCAGCCGTACGATGGGATCGAACCCACAACTCTGAGTGCCTGGATCAGGCACACACGCATACACATCATGGTCCAGGTGGTAGTCCGTGGTGAGAGGAGTTCAGGGACGAGGGTTCGATCCCATTGTACGACTTCAATATTTCCTAAAAGCTATATTAAGTTTTCTGTGGTCATTACCCAGGTCATCCCAGTGTTTGGGGTCACCGAGGTCATCCCGGTGCTTGGGGTCACTGAGGTCATCCCGGTGCTTGGGGTCACTGAGGTCATCCCGGTGCTTGGGGTCATCCAGGTCATCCCGGTGCTTGGGGTCACCGAGGTCATCCCGGTGCTTGGGGTCATCCAGGTCATCCCGGTGCTTGGGGTCACCCAGGTCATCCCGGTGCTTGGGGTCACCCAGGTCATCCCGGTGCTTGGGGTCACCAGGTCATCCCGGTGCTTGGGGTCATCCAGGTCATCCCGGTGCTTGGGGTCATCCAGGTCATCCCGGTGCTTGGGGTCATCCAGGTCATCCCGGTGCTTGGGGTCATCCAGGTCATCCCGGTGCTTGGGGTCATCCAGCATCACTCGACGAAAACTAATGCAAAAAAAAGTGATGAGAAGTGAAGATAAATGGGAACATATGTGGCTGCCCGACACTTGTCAACACTTCCCAACGCTTTGTCTCTGTGTCTCTGGCTGTCTCGCTCTGTGTGTGTCTTTGCTTCTCTGTGTCTCTGTATCTATCCCTGTGTCTGGCTCTCTCTGTCTGTCTCTTTCTGTCTGTATCTCTCCCTGTCTGAGTCTCTCTGTCTCAATCTGTCACTCTGTGTCTCTCTGTTTCTCCCGCTCTGTCTCTCTGCCTACGTCTCTCTGTCTGGATGGCTGACTCTCAGGAGGGATCAGAGAGCAGGTAATGGGTGCAGAGGAGAGGACAATGGCTGGGGACCCGTTATCTTGAGGTTATCTTGTGATGATTTCGGGGCTTTTAGTGTCCCGCGGCCCGGTCCTCGACCAGGCCTCCACCCCCAGGAAGCAGCCCGTGACAACTGACTAACACCCAGGTACCTATTTTACTGCTAGGTAACAGGGGCATAGGGTGAAAGAAACTCTGCCCATTGTTTTTCGCCGGCGCCTGGGATCGAACCCGGGACCACAGGATCACAAGTACAGCGTGCTGTCCGCTCGGCCGACCGCCTCCCCACCATTGAAACCGTCCGGCCCGGCTCCGAAACCGTCCACCTGTGTGGACGGTTTCGAAAAATATTACAAAGTATGATAGATTTTTTATTTTATTTTGTGGACATCAGTGCTAATGTTTTACAATATATCACAGAAAAAAATATCAGAGTCGAATTATTTTGATATTGGAAGATTCGCTGTGGTGATCGTGTTAGCAGCAAATGGTATTTCATTAATGCCAACCCGACTTGCAAATGCAGGGCATATTCCCAGCAACAATTACCATTTAAAAAAAATTGGT